AGTTGTCTTCGCTCAATACAAAAGATCAGATGGCCAGAAAAGATCAGAAACAGGAATCTCTGGCAATGAGCGAACCAACCCAGCAGGAACCGATTGTGAAACAAATAGGCAGGAAGAAATGGAGGTGGATTGGCTGGTCATACTCTGAGGAAACCATCAAGTGAGTGACATCACTAGACAAGCCATTGCTCGAATGGAAACCGAAAGGGAAGCGGCGAGTTGGTCGTCAGTGCCAGGGTGACATGGAGGAGGTCATGTGAAGAGGAGGTAAAGGCATGTGGGCAGACTTGGAGCCAGGTGAAAACTCTAGCAGAGAACCGAACGCAATAGAGACGCGCGGCTGAAACCCTATGTTCCTCTAGGAATTAAAGGAAAAAATAATGAATAATAATAATAATGATTACATGCTTAGAGGAATGCCGTAGTCGTGGCAGATATTATTTTTGGCTGTTTTAGAAGTGTTATATTAACTTTTTGTTTTGTTTACACAGCTGGGATGTCTGTAGTAGAGTTTGTTGTACTATTCACGAAAATACCTTGCGATAGCTTTTATATTTTCATTCATATTGGTTTGAGAAATGTGATTTGAAGATTTATGTGAAATCACAATATTGATCACATCTATTTTAGTGATCTCATTTCAATGACAGCAAAATCACCTTGTTTATGAAATTTCATACATCGTCATAAAATTTACAAATTAAAATAAATCTGTCACCAAAAATCACAAATCTAAAAATAAAGGTCAACAAGCTATTTCCTGTACTTTCAATCAATCAAATTGATGGAATACTCTGTTACTAAATATAAGTCTAATTGGATTCACTGAACAATACAAAAAATCTATTTTTCCATGATCGATGCTTAATTATCAACTCAAAATCTTGTAAAGATTTTTCATTTCTATCCGTAAGAGATTTTGACTTTTATCCTCTTGGCATCTGCTAGAATGGTTCTCTGACTAGCTAAAAAAGGTAGTATTTTTCCAGAAAAGCAGACATGAAAGTAGAGAGACTGAATGCTACCAGAATACTTGAATTAAAAAATTACTGGTCATATTTAAGTGTTGGTTTGTAGGGATTTGATTGGTTGGTTACAGGATTTCATCATGAGAACCATTGGAAAACCTACAGGGAGTACTGGACAGCTGTTTCGTTTTAGCTCTTCGGGACCCTTCAGCAATACGCATCCAACAGGATTCGAACCCAGAACCTTCTGGTTGCAAGGTTAGCGAGCTTGTAGACCATTAAGCCACTGGGGCCCGATCCAATGGCCAACCTATGAATTCTAACTTCCGCCGATTCATGACATAGTGCGACCCCTAGCCAATTGTCTTCGGTAAGTATTTGTCCTCACACCCGACTTCTAACTTGAACCCCAGGTAACTGAATTAATTATTCAACACTTTCAAAATCTGGGATATGATAAGAAGTGAATATATATTTGCTCCATTACTAAAGATTTTGAGCCATATTACTAACAGCCTTCTAATACTGATTCTTAGCAGTTCAAAAATACCCCGAACCAAGCAGTTCCCTGCATAGTTAAGATCAGCGGTCGATCACTGAATTAATGTATGAATGTTATGTTTAGGTCAGAATGCTGCTTTGCAGTCTAATTTTGTTTCATCCAACTTCGCCTCGGCTCATTATTACTCGTCATGTTGCGTCATCTAACTTGAATAGTTGAACTTGGACACATTGTAGCGAGTGCTACTGTTAAGATTTATCAGTATTATATAAAGAGACGCTCATCGGCATATAAACATCAAACAGCAAGGAGGTATATTTGATTTCAGAGAAGACAAATGATACAGCGTTGTGTAAATACGTGGGAGATGTGAAAAGAACACAAAGGAAGGAAGGCCAGAAGTACTACAGCACGGAAGATCTGTGCGAAATCGTGCGTTGAAGATAAGTTATACACAATTTGGCTATTTAGAGATACCAATTTCCAAATAAACATTCTTTTACCAAGTTTCCGTCTTCTACCGTTTCAACATGAGGTCAGGAACTTCTAACCTTTTCATATCTTTCATTTCCAGTGACCATGTCTCAAAACCGTACAGTAGGATAGAGTAAACTATTGCCCTTTGACAAACAGTAGAATATCACGTCAGCAAACGCCAAACCACCCTTGTCCTGAGATTTAGTCATATAAATTAGTCTTTTACGAGTTATGCAACTTCTAAAATAAGCGGAGTGATCACACACACTCAACTAGTCTATTATCTATCCTTAAACTATGGAGTTGCATCATCATTGTACATTTGATAGTGGTGTTCAGTAGGTTTCATTCCGTCTGCGGTTTTTTTACTTAGAACTATTGCATGCTATCAATCAAAGAAATTTTTCGTTAAAGGCAAAAATGGAAAAGATTCTCATCTAACTGTACACCTATCATAAAATCGAGTGGGAGAGGTGAAATCTAACGGAGAGTACAGGTTGTCAACCACTTCAGACGACACCTCTAAACAAGCTCTTATCAAAGATGTATGGGTGTGAGTAGAATGCATTGATTAGTACGGCACACAACCTCCTGGCTTCATTTACAGCTAGACATCGCGGGACCACCCTTGTATAGGCGGAGTGAAATGCCGTCTTCAAGTTAACAAATACTACGCCTGTGTTGGACATTAGAAAGTTTGTCCGTGTTTCAGAAATTTTTCAAATGTAAAGATTTGATCAGTGCATTGTTTCTGGTACGAAACCTACTTGATTTACTTCAGATTGTTATCAAGGGCCCCAATTAGTAGTCATAAGAGAGTATAGGACCTTGAGTAGTATTTCAGTGAAGCTGATACCTCTACAATTATTATGGAAAGGAAAGTCCGTTTTTGATAAACTGAGGTCATCAACTGTTAACATCATTACGATTGACCGGTCTCAGATTCACATAAACTGGCTGTCAACAACTCATCACCACCATGTTTAAATCTCATCAGGTCCCGATATTTTGTCTCGTTTCAGATTGCAGACAACTGTAGTAGCCTTGGTCACAATTGGAGAGAGGTGATTTCTACATCATACTAAGCTTGTGGTTACTTTGAAAGCAGACGCAGTGCAATTACAAGTCAGTTAAATGGCTGTGCAATAACCTACCTAATATTCTTTCTGACAAGTTATTAAACCTTCTTCCATTGCTTGCGGTCTCTGAGAAAACCGTCAGTCACTAATGTTTCTAAACAAGGATAAAGATGATGCCAGGCTAACTCAGGGTGAATATTGCGATCGAACTCAGCTAATTTGCTTAGTCTGTTCCTCCGTTCAGGCTAAAAGCGTTCACATACGAATGTATGACTGGATTTCAAGCTCAATAGAAGCAGTAACTTTCCTGCGTTTCTCTTCATTAATCACTTATTCTAAAGTAGTCTATTTAGGTTCATTGTTGGTTCGAATTCCGTCAGAATGAAAAATTGCGACCGTTTGACAGTATTGTAGCTAACTAGTATGGCTTCAGACTAATAAAAACTATAACTATTTCGTAAGACACATACTGATATAAATCATTGACTGTTGATTGGGAGTGTTGAATGAAACCCAACTCACTATTACATACACAACAGATTATAAAGTTCGCGACATTTTCTGCTATTTTTCGATTTACATATCTTATACAATGAAGTAAGGAAGATTTTACTATTCAGAGTGGACAATAAACAAGGTTTAGTAAGCACGTTGTACGACGCAGTCACAAAAGACCTTTTAACAGGTGACGGGTTAAATCACCAATAACTCCTTATCCATTCCAACGCAAGAAGCTAAAACGAATATAACAGTAGGCTAACTGGGAGGTGTCCTCTGATTAGGCGAATAGATTTTTTCTTATTCCTTTACGTTCCGAGTCGAACATTTGGCATTAGTCTTGCACTTTAAAGTTTCGGTAGCGGCGGTGTTATTTTTAAGCGGTGGGATCGCTAGCCATATATCCGGGTCTAGGAGTGCGTCGGCGGGGAATAGAACTAGGACCACATGTGTGGTTGGTGCGTCTAATGCATAAGGCATCAGCTTCACAGTCGAAGACTGATGTTCAGAGTCCCTTCCAAGACGTGTCTCTGTCCCAGTGACTGGATGGTTAGTGGAATGACCTTGTAACTTGAGCGTAGTGGGTTCAATCCACGGCGGTCATCGGGGACGGGGGGGTACAAATGAAGACACCCAGAGTGGAATGCAATGAATAGATAAATACAAGACGTTTGAAGTCTATGTTGATTCTCACTGGTTTTTTCTCCAAATTCGTTCGTTGTGAAGAATCTATTCTGAAACAGACTTTGAGCGTTGTATAATCACATAAGTTATACACTGAATTCAATTTCCCTCAAAAGCAGTCTTCCCTTCAGGGCAGTTCAAATTCCCTACTGAAAAAATAAAGCTAACCCCATTGACAACGAACTCTTTATACGGTATGCGATCTCTTTGAACAGCTTTTAACTTGAACAACAGGTTTTCTATTTTTTCGGTCAGTCATAAAATCGTATAAATTTATGTGAAGATACATAGGACAGGAGATATAAAGTCGGTGGCACAGCGATTAGGACACTCGCCAACCATGCAAATGGTCCGGGGTTAGATCCCCGGTCGACGCACACCTGATATCAATTGTCGGTCTGCTAAATTTGGGTTACCGATATCACATGCTTTAAATTTCATAGTTGTACCAAAATACTGTGTGAAATCAAGCTCGTGTTTGCTCCTCCCGAGTACCACTTAGTCTACGCATTATTACTGAGTCTACAACTTTAGACGCCACATCAGTCAAGCTAATCCCCCTGTGATGATCACAGGAAGAATTGTCTCCCTTCTGGCATATGGGGATAATCAGTGACTTACACCAACCCGACGGGACTGGCTCCCAGACTCTGCCTAGTACCTTAGTTAACGCAGACAGTAAACTGTCTCCACCGTACTTAAATACCTCTGGAGTCATTCCCTCAGGTCCTGCTGCTTTGCTTTGTTTTAGACTATTGACAGCTTTAGTAACCTCATTTAGGAACGGAGGTTCTGTGTCTATATCCCATTCAGGGAGGTGTTGGATGTTCGATAAGTTGAGTGTGGCTGTGGGCTCCAATTGTTCTTTCCGGCGTTCCACTCACCTATCCAGGGAGCTAATTGTGGTGCCATTTTTCTCAGAGATTGTTTCTCTTATCATTTGCCTTTTACCACCTGTTTCCCTGATAAGCCTAAATACATGTCTGGTGGAATCAAGCTATAATTAAAAAAAGCTTACTTGCGAATAAGTTCTATTGCATCTTCACTGGACATTCCAAGTTCCATCAATGCAACAGCAACTAGGACTGGAGCCCTAAAAAGTTTCAAAAAACAAAGACGAAATTCTTTAAAAATGCGTATTAAAAATAACCAATAGTTATATCACACAATTTACAAAAATCCACACAGAAATGATGGAGTTCCTAGTAGGCACTTTAAGGATGAAGTCTTTACAGCTAGATCTACTTTTAGTGCCATGTGTGAAAGATAGAATTTATCATATATATAAATCAACATGTATTTATTGATTAAACTGTTCCTGTAGGTTGATAAAGTAAATCTACATGTGTAAGTGACATTTAATCTATGAGGATCGAACAGTGGTTCATAAGAATTTGCCCTGGGATGGCATTGATGCTACTGCCATCAAAAATAATGAAATAACAATTTCCATTATCCAAAAGTTAACAGATCATCTTGTTCTACAATGACCATCTTAAGTGAATCCACACTTTACACAAACCGTTTTTAGTAGGGATTTACTCTGATTGGATGGAGGATTTCCTCATGAGCTGACGTCAGTTAGAGAACCACTGGAAAACCTGGGAGTACTAGACGGCTGTTTCGCCGTAGTTTGGGACTCTTCAGCAGTAAGCAGTTCAGTACTACAAGGTTTTCCAGTGGTTTTCTAACTGATGTCAGCTCATGATGAAATCCTCCATGCAATCAAACTGATAATCATTAATTTCCGCATGTTTACTCTATTGTGCTCTTTTACACCTTAACTGAACTTTCAACATTCATCCGTACCCAATGTACATAAATTACGAGTAAATTGTTTTAATCCTGTTAGATTTACTATATGTTTTCATCTTTATTTATTTATTTATTTATTCAACAATGGTCTAGACTTGGTGAAGCTTCGGAAATGACCAGTTGAATTTCAGACAAATGTGTACTGTCATTTTCAGTGAGCATTATCTAACAAGAGCAGAGGTAAGATGAGTATTAGCGTTTCAGTTAGATTTAGGATCAGCGTTAGCAGTACGATATTATTTCGGCACATTTTATGTTACAACTGTAATTGTTGGTGTTAGATGGTTGGAGACAATCGATGGGAAGCCTTGGACCTGGGTTTCATGCTAGTTGGCACCGCCAGCTGCCTTCAACCATCTCTAATACCAACAATTCACAGTGCAACGTGATGGTGAGCCACCCAGCATAGTGGCCACCTTGCAAACTTGACTGTCAAAATTCAGTCTGCAGTGAAGATAGGACTAGACGCATTACACTAGTTACTGACTAATAGTGTCCAATAAAAAAATACAACTGCAATTGTTGTTAAAGCAATGTTATTTCCATTTTGTCTGTTGTTCAGAGGATAATAGGAAGGAACATCTGTCACTGGTATGGTACGAGTGATAAATGTTGTTGATATGACAGTAAAGTTGCACATACTTCTATATGAAGCAATAAGAATCAATTGGAGAAGTTTCCGAATCACTGGCACATTAAAAAGCCTTTGAAAGACAACAGAGTTTTGCAGTTCTACCTCAAAAGTTTTCTGAAATATATGAGAATAACAAATAACTTTGTGGGATATTCGGATGTTACGAATCATACAGACAACAATTTTAATGGTTTTAATACCCTTGATGTGCTTAAATGTCTCCGGTCTCTTGAGCCTTCCCAAAGCCTTGGTCTTGATGGTGTACCTGCCATTGTCCTCAAGAACTGTCCTGATATTTAGTGTTACCCTCTTACTAACATTTCTAATGCTTCCTTTTCCAGTAATGTCCTACCTTTTGCATGGAAAAACATTAAAATTATCCCCACACCATAACCATCTTCTGGTACTGATATTATATTTCGGCCTATTGCAATTACTTCTTTTATAAAATTGATGGAAAAATTACTTTTACTTCGTCCTGAACCCGCTTTGAAACCTTTTAATGATCCTAAACAATTTGCATACAAACATGGTAGAAGTACCTTGGATACCGCGGTTGTCTTATATCACAATGTTGTTTCTTGTTTAGACAAAGGTGCCAAGTATTTTCCTGGTGCCTTCTTAGACTACACATTTGCTTTTGACTCTGTACCTAGGGGCCTTTTATAAAAAAGTTAACGTTGACACAAACAGGATCCTGGGCTAAGAGTTGGTTGCATTCTTATTTTGCTGACAGAATGCAGTATACTGTATATAATGGCAAATCTTCTTCTGCCTCGCTTACAAAAGCCGGTGTTTTTCTCCTTTTCTTTTTTCTTTCTTCCTACACTACCTGCCTCATTTAAACGAAACTAACTTTGTCAAATATGCGGATGATCTGACTGTATCACTGCCTATCACTTCCGAGTCTGACTACTCCAAACTTAATAGCTTTCAGTTGGACATCAGCAAGTGGTCAAAGTCAAATGGTCTTACGTTAAATCCTTCCAAATGTCAGGCAGTTAACTTGACTTTCAAGCATCGACGTGATATACATGAATTAGTTAGTTCCCATGATGCCTGTAGCATAGATGGCATTGAAATTGAAACCAAGTTAAGCATTAAATACCTTGGATTAGTTCTTTCCTCTGACATTTCTTGGTCATCCCACATCTTATCAATCTCTAAGAAAATGTTCCGTCTTACCTTCTACATTAAAAAGTTTAGACAATCAGGTATCAACCAACCTTTAGTTTTGCAATTTTTAAACTCCTGTATTTTACCTATTGTACTCTATTGCTCTCCATTAATCTTTCCTGGGCTTCTCAAAAAAGACTATATCATATTACGAAGGGTATTAAATGCTATGAGTAGGGCTTGTGGTATGCCACTGCGTGAGCTGGCCAATATTATAGTCGAGAGATACATAAAATCCTGTACAAAATGGGCAAAAGCTGTACTGTCAGACCCCCTTTATTCACAACTATCCCCTTGCATCTCATTAAGTAGGACGAGAAGTCAATATAAGAAGTTATATGCTCGCATCACTAAGTACAAAAATTCTACAATACCCTATTTAGCCCGTATTCTATGTGATAGAGACACTGTTAGACGTGAAACATACAGGTTACTATGTAATTAGCAAAGTGAATCGACCCTTTCATCGTTCATCTTTCTGTAATTTTATGGTGTCACCCTTTCTATCGTTTAACTATAGCTTAGCTATTTTATTTTGGTTGTAATTACTATTATTACTACAATTTTATGCTTCATGCATATTTTGCTACTTATCGCATAGTGTAATTGCTACATAGCTGCTATAACAGCGTTTTATTATTATCATGTAGTGTTTACTTTTTGTCCTTTTGAGTACATTAGATGCAATATTGTACTGAATGCTGAAAATTCTTTGTTGTATCATTAGTGCTATTTTTGGAGTAAAGCAAAAATTATTGTTAATATTATTATTTCGTTACTTTTCTCTTAATCCCGGCTGACGAACTCCACCTTCGTGTGTCGGTAGGGCAGTGCTAGAATGCCCACCGACCACGTATGGGATGGTCTGGATTAGATTCCTGGATTATCCACTCCTAAACCTCGCTTAACCGACAGTAAGCCAAATAAGGTGGCAAGGTTGAGCTTGAGGTTAGTTACCACACCCTCATCCTGTAAAAGGAACACCACCCGTACTGAAACTTCAAACGCCAAGCTTGAAGACCTGTGTTCCATTGGGAATGCAAAGGAATGAAAGAAAACTTTCTTCTCAACTATGTACACATTACAGGTATTTGCAAATATGTGCGGTAGTTTAAGTCGCCACTCTCCTTCCCTGTAGCACACAAAGCAAGAGAAGAAAGTAGGAGAAATGCATAATAGAGACAGTAAACACAGGTGTGGGACAAAAGGAATAGTAATAACGAAGAACAATGTAGTTTCATTGGAAATCATAAGTCACAAGGAGTGGATGCATCTCAGCCAACCATTGACAACGATTTTGAGCCATATCACTAATTGTTTCCAATCATTGGTTTTTACCGTCCCGGGGACCCCAACTAGGAAGTCTACATCTTCCTACCTGACTGGCTTAAAATTACTGTTGTAGATTTCATTGACTGATGAAGCCATGTTTTGGTTTGACCGCCACTAGCTCTTTTCCAGTCTGACCCTATATCAGCTAACATTGACCGTCAGTCGAGGAAGGCGATGACTAGGCATCAGCAGTACATGTCCTAACCATCTCAGTCGATGTAATTTCACAACCTCGTCGATTGATTTCCCCTCCCACCTACCTTGCACTCGGCCGATGCCTTACCTCGATATTCCTCACCTTATTATACCACTTCACACAGGAGATACAGCGCAGGCACCTATGATCAAACACAGCTAGCCACCCTTTGCATGTCTTCCACTCTCAGTGGCCAGGTCTCACAGCTGGCCATAAAGGAGGACGGAGCGGACTGATGAGCACTACACCCACCCTTTGGTCGATGGCCAGCCGGATATCACGTCTACGCCAGAGACGGCGTAAACTGGGATATGCGAAACTAGCCCTCTGTATCCGTACTCAACTGAGATTTCGTCAGAGATCAACCCGTTGGCGTTGGCTGATGGTACTTCCCAAATAAGTGAAGCGGTCAACGTGCTCTACCACTTCACTTCCTATTTCTAAACTAGAAGTCAGTGTAGTCCAGTCTCGTAACATCATCTCACATTTGGCGGGAGCGAAACGCATGCCAAACATTCGTAGATTGCAGCTCAAGGTGCTCAGAAGATTGTAATTTTTCAGCGTCTTCACCTAGGAGAGAGGACTATATTATCTGCATATTCTAAGTCAACGAGATTATTCCCTGGTAGCAAGTCAATCCCTGTGTCTCTGAAGTGAGTTAGGGTTAAGTCCATCAGTACATCTATGATGAAATTGCATAGAAACGGGGATAATAGGCATCCCTGACGGACACCACTAGTCGTCACCACTTCAGGTGACAACTCGCCGTAAGCCCTCACCTAGCTGACTGCATGAGTTCGAATAGAGTGCCTTGATCAGTGCAATGTATTTTGTAAGGTATCAGGAAAAAATAGACACAGCTGGAATTTCTTTGTCTTGTTGAATACATTAAGGGGTGAAAGAAAGCAAGAAACCCATTCAAGCTAATCTATTGTGCAGT